TGCCTTACTTGAAGTGAAATTACTGAAAAAATATATGCTAGGATGAATCAAAAGTACTTTCGTTTCTTTATATAGGTTTACCTTAAATATTATTTCAGGTACATGTCGATTAACAATCTGTGATTTCACTATATTAATAATAGTGTTATATGTTAGGATGTAACGAAAGTATTTTCGTTTTTTATAGACGTTTACTTCAAATATTATTTCATGTACATATCGAAAAGTAATCTACGATTTTACTATATTATTATTAGTATTATTATTAATAATAATAGTAATAACAACAACAACAACAATAATAATAATAATAATAATAATAATAATAATAATAATAATAATAATAATGAGGCTGAATGGTTAAACGATGGACAGCCCATAGCTTAGCAGTGGTGAAAGAGGTGAGAATCTAAAGGATGGTATTGGATATTTGAGCTCATTTGGTGTTATATATATATATATATATATATATATAAAGAAAGAAAGAACAGTAAGGTATATAATCAGGTGTTCTTATAGAAATTTTTATTTTTACAAAATAGCGCTCAATGTAAATTTACAGAGCATTAATATTATAAATTAATTGATTTAAAATATGTTTTTTTTTTCGCTACACAGTTCTAACCATGTTTCAAAAATGGAAGCTGAAAGCTTCGAATTTAATTTTGTAATTAAATTAAAGACATTAGTTCAATTTCATCCTCAAGCGAATTTTGGAGTAACATTTAAAATTACTGGGTTTTAAAGACACAGCTAAAATCATAATTCACGTTTCCAAGGATACAAAGAAATCCATTCAACCAGACTAGGGGTGTTTGCGTGTTCATTATCGCTGTATTTTGATGTATCAGTTATTAGTTACGTTTTGGTAGAGGTAGGGATATATATATATATATATATATATATATATATATATATATATATATATATATATAGAGAGAGAGAGAGAGAGAGAGAGATTTAGAAAACGAGATGTTTAAATTAATAATTATTGATGTTTATTGACTTTACAAAGAAGATTAAATATTAAAATGAAATGAAAGGCAAGGATCTAAAAAAAAAAAAAGAAATTATAGAAAGTCAAAAAAGTGAGTACATTTTTGGCAGAAACCCTCTCTCTCTTATACACACATACACACACAATATATATATATATATATATATATATACACGAACATATATATATATATATATGTAAAATGTGTATATATATAAATATATTTATATGCAATTTTATATACATTGTTTATAAATTATATATGCGCATTATTTATTGAAAGCGCTCAATATCAATGATAGAGCTAACAACTAAATCTAATTAAATACACACACACACACACACACACACACACACACACACACACACACACATATATATATATATATATATATATATATATATATATATATATATATATATATATATATAAATGGTGTATACTAACACACGAATCCATATTAGCGTAAAGTATGCAAACATATATACAGTCAAATAAAATATTGCAAGGAAATTGACGAAACATTAGAGGAAGAATCGATTCGTTCAGCAAATCTAATACAAAACTTCGATCATTTGTCGGATCAAGTTAAAAATAAAATGGAAATTCGTTCTTAATCCATTCTGGACTATAGATGAGCCGACAGTCGTTATGCAAGCAGTGGTTGAAAATTTCCTGATCAGGTCAACTTCCAAAAATTTCATCAGATGACTAAACATCAGAGTTAATTTCGATAAAGGTCGATAACGTTTCAGAATCTCTTCAAATAACAGGCTATGTTGAGGAGTTATTCTCATAATATGAAGTCAGAAGTTTTTTTATTTTTTTATTTTATTTTGACGCTTTGTTCATTCTAGTATTAAATATACCAGCAATAAAAATACTCCAAAAATAAGACTTAAAATGGCTATTTTGATATCCTCTCCTATTCTATTGTTAAATACCAATCTATCAGGAAACTGAATATTTGGAAATAAAAGAAGGTTCAACTGTTCCTGTATAAGAAACGACAATGATACATGATACTGAAAAATATGACGCAAAATGATATAAACTAGTGGTTCCCAGACATTTTTACCCATGGCTCCCTTTTTCCTTCTTTTTTTTTCTTGGTGGACCCCCTTAATAGCTATTTGACATAAGACAACAATATTCTATTTTTCACTAATAAAAATTTTGAGGTTTTAATAATCAAAGAAATATTATATAATTAATCTTTATTTTTAAATGAAAACTAATAATGCAAATAAATTATTTTACAATAATAATACTTTTTATTGGCCAATACCTTGCATTAGCTTATTACAATGTATCTTCTATGTTCTAACCCATGAGGAGCAGAGCTCTTTAGATAATTGAATTCACTGCAGCATTTATCTATGCACTCTGGTTAAATATTTTAATAAAAATAATTTAAGTGTATTAATAGAAAAAAGTCATATTTATTCAATGAGATCCCTGGGGTTGATGCTGCTCAGCGAGTTTCTATATATCTAGCTCCATCAATGTTAATGATATTCGAAAATCACCTCTTTTCACAATGGCAAGTCTGTTGCGAACTTTCGATAACAATTGAGAAGCACCCAGTGAGGATCGAACTCACTACTCATTCGTATTTGTTTTAGCGAGACAAGCTTGTTAACTATTACACCACGCCAAGGTGACCATAGCTAACACTGAATATACTCTGAAATATTTGTCAAAAATATTCATGTTTCGGTTTTAATAAGTCGAGCTTTTATTTTTCCCTAATTAATTTAACTTTCCCTATAGTGATTTTCCAAGCGTAGCTTAGATGTGGCACAAGGCCGAAAGTAAGGGGCACCCAGTGAGGATCGAACTAACTACTCAGGTGTAATTGTTCTAGCGAGACAAGCTTGCTAACCATTACACAACCTCAGGGCGACCAACTTTCCCTATATATTTCTATCGTTTTTATGTCTTTCGTCCATTTTTAAGGATATTGTGTTATTTTATAACGAATTATATCTATGACATATGCAGTTATATCAATAAATTTATAACCTGGAGTATTTTATACAAAAATTATGTATATCTTAATATAAATTCATACCTTATCGATAAACATAAGACAACACTTTACGATGAATTGGTTAGAGTGAATATTATAAAATTAACACATGTCAGAACACATTCATCTACCCTTGACTTGTTTATACTTTCAAATATGAAAATAAGACATTAATATTTGATCTTCTAAATAAATACAACAACCCTGAAAATTAATCGAATGTGAAATAGAAATAAGTAATATATTAACATATCTTGGTATCATGTTAAACCTCACTGATTAAGAACGAATCTTAAAAGGAAACATCAAACCTAAAATCCATATCTCATAAACTTCTACTCACAGCAAATATAAAATCCGGAACAATTATAGTTTTCATCTCAAGAGCGCTTGAATTTAAACGAAAAGAGAAAAAACACTACTGAAGAAATTTCAAAAGGTCCTGTTAAGATTTAAAAGATGAAGGCCGGCATAAAAACATCAACAAGATGAACTAAAAGAAGAACAGGAAAAGGTGTATAAAGGCAATGTTGACCTATTTCAGCTGATTTTGTATATTTTGAAAGATATTTAAAACAAAAATTGAACTATAATCAACAACATTTTTCTATGTGCCGCATCCTTTCAGAACATAGGCAATCATGGCTCTCCACAACTTTCATCAGTTGTGGCTCTTAACAACTGTTCTTCCTTTGCCATGCTATTCATTCACACTAGCTCCTCAGGTGGGTTGATTAAGTTTTCTAAGACCTTTTCTCTTATTACGTGTGCAAAGAATTTCAGGTGTCCTTTCTTGATTTTGCGTAAAAGTGTTCTCTCTGTATCCATTTTCCTTAAGATTTTTTGTTGCTTACTCACTCATAAAATGCTCAGTATCTTTCTGTAGAACCACATTTCTGTTGATCTCAGTTTTCTCCTCACACGTGAGCAGATTGTTCAACATTCACTGCCATATAAGAGGATACAGATCACATAGCAATGTAGCATCCTTTTATGTGTTACTAACGATTTTTTGGTTTCGTAGTACCTTACTTAGTTTTTGGAATGCATCTTTGCTAGTCCAATGCGTACTTCGGATTTCGGTGTCACATTTTACACCCTCTCTTAAAACACTTCCAAGGTATTTAAACTTCTGTACATGCTTGATTTTGATATCTCCCATCTGTAACTCACTGGATTTTTTTCTTTTGCTGATGACTATACTTTCTGACGTCTTGAGGTTAATAGTTAACTTTTATTGTTTTCTTTCATTACACTGTATAAGAAGTCCTGTAGTCTTTTTGAGTTGGCTTTCAACAATATTAGATTTGTCGAAAAACAGCACAACGCATGTTGTAAGAAAGAAAAAATAATAGAATCATAAAAAAAACAGTGTCTGCTTTCTAAAAAATATTTTACTCTCTGCTATTCTGGTTTGACTTAATAGTCGATTCTACTTTCAGTAGAACAACAATTCTGGACATAATTTGAAAACTGCCTAAAGATGGTTGAAAAAGAGTAAATTTTGGATAATGGAATTCGCATCACAGTCAACTGACACATATTCAGTAAAAAATTAAGTTTTAGATGAGCAGGACAATGGGAAATAATATAAAAGAAAAGGAGTAGACTAAAAATAGAAAGGATAGAGTGAATTTGATTTGTAACGGATTAGAAAGGACAAAAAATATATACATATACATACATACATACATATATATATATATATATATATATATATATATATATATATATATATATATATATATATTTGGTTGTTGATAGATATGAGTTTGTGACCCTGGGTTTCACCTTTAGCGATCGTCAGACAAACCCATAGTTTTTGGAATGCATCTTTGCTAGTCCACTGCGTACTTCGGATTTCGGTGTCATATTTTACACCCTCTCTATTTATATACACACACTTTTCACACACACACACACACACACACACACACATATATATATATATATATATATATATGCAGAGGTTAGGATATAAAAAGAAAGGAAAATGTTAAAATAGAAAAAGAAAAGTGTAAATGATATTTGAAAGGAATAGCAAAGAAAGAAAGAAAAAAAGAAAAAATAAATAAAGAAAGAAACAAACAAACAAAGAAAGAAAGAAAGAAAGAAAGAAAGAAAGAAAGAAAGAAAGAATGTAGATTTAGGAGGGGGAAGATATGTAAGAAAATAATAAAGCTTTTCTGAAAGGAGTAGGAAAGGGAAAAAGGAAAGAAAAGTGATGTAAAAGTGAGTGTATAAGAAAGAGAAAGAAAAAGATAGAGGTTATTTGAAAGGAACAGAATAAGGAAGAAAAGGTAGCATAAAATTAAACATCTTATAATGTTAAATCTATAATTATTAATAAATAGAAAAATAAAACAAGAATAGATTTAAAGAAACAAGTATGAGAGTTAAGGAAGAAAGCGTGAGAAACGAAATAACTTGCCCTGAAGATGAACTAATGTTAATTTACACTAGAGATTGATATTAGGGTGAAAAATGTTTATGTAGGTGACAATGGATGAAACAGAGTCGGGAGAAAGATTTAAAGATGAAGGCCTGCATAAAAACATCAACAAGATGAACTAAAAGAAGAACAGGAAAAGGTGTATAAAGGCAATGTTGACCTATTTGAGCTGATCTAGTCTATGAGCTCCTGACAGACTTTATATCGTGAGCATATTTTAGAATCTCCTTGTCTTGTTTCAAAGGGAATGTAACCTATGGCGCCTCTGATTTGCAATACACAATAGAACGTAATCTTGTGGCTCTCGACCACACACCGGAAGCTGCGGCCATGCGGCAGACACACATCCGGTTTCGAGACCGGGCGGCGATATCTGATGTTCTCAGTCGATAACTGATGAGTTCTATTGGCCGGAAGCGCCTCTGGAAGCTTCGTTATGTCCACCGCAGTATGACGACTGAACCGTCCCTTCATTATAGAAATTGGTTATTCCTTGACTTGTCGAGACGTCAGAGATTGGGGAGGCTAATTCCTATTGTCGTGATCGGTCGTGTGTGGCCGGCCTACGTGTGACCAGCGTACGGTGTCATTTCCACTGTGTGGCTGCATTACTGTGTTGATCGTCCCCGATACATAATGTACCATGGGAGCAGCCATTCGTGGAGCTACAAAGGAAGAAAAAGAAATATGAATACGGAGAGAAAGGGCGAAAGAAAATGGTGGTGTAGTAGGGTAGTGGATAGCATCAGGAATGGTGTATGATTTGACATAGGAAAACAAAAGAAAGAGACATGCAAGGGAAAGAGAAGAAGAGAGAAAGAATAAAAGCTAAAAGGAAAAAGACAGGAAATGAAGCAAAAGATGTTAAAAAGACAGGAAAATTCAAGAAGAAGAAATCTACCATAAAGAAAGGAAGAGATAAAAATGTAATATAATAAAAAAAAAAACGATTACAATCAAGAAAAAAGGAATTAATGAAAGTGCAAGGGTAAGATTGATATATATTTGATCAAATCTACTAACCTTGTGAACTGTCGAAGAATCTTCAATGACCTGTCAGCAAGGTTATTGGTTGCCTTCTCTTCGTCTAAACTGTTTTTTTCTTTTACTTTTTAAAAAGAAAACTAACTATATGTACTTCCTCTTTTTTTAATATTTATGGAGAGGATCGTGCTTAGTCCAATTTAGCGCTACCCAATCATCAAAAAAATAATTGTACTAAATAACAGAAGCCACATCACTTTAGGACTACCAACAGTAGCAACAATTAAAATGGATATCATATATAACACGAAGAGAAAATAATGACATAATCATGATACTGAAGTTCAACACTACTTTAAACAAAGGTTAGGAAGGACACCCCTATTAATTTTTATAAAAACGCAATAACAATTGATTTGAAAAACTTTTTTCCCGAAAAATTGTTTTAATAGATAGATGTAATAAATTTCAGCTGATGATATCTAAGTTAGGTCAATGAATTAATTTGGTTAATTTCTCACTGAATTCAGTAACAACAGTTCGAGCCAAAAGTAAAAGACTGGCATTAGGTGCAAGGATTACGTTTTTATATATATTTTGTGATATCAACGAACACTCGTTGCCACTTTTGCAATGCCAACGAATACTAGTTGTCACTTTCGTAGATGCTCGTTGTAGTAGAGACTTTGTAATCGCAGATACAGTTATAGTAACGCCGTTGAACAATACTGGTGTCAGACACCTTCGAATAACACTCGCACTAATAGTACTTGCTGACTTGTGATCCGAATAGTAATCCGTATAGTGAGATATTCGCTAAACGCCTCACGCGGCCCGATGCGGCGCAAGGCCAAGTTTATTGTTGGGTAGGCTCGTTCAAAAATTCGGTTAAGTCGGTTAGCTGTGTCCCGAAACGAGATTCTGCCCTTCGAAATAGCCTTGTCTGGGGATCCTCTCTGCCCGGAGGAGGAGAGTTCAACCAGCACACTTCCGAACTAATCCGGATACTGATCTGTGATCCGTATTGTGAGATATTCATTATCCGCCCCACGTGACCGGATGCGACACAAGACCAAGTTTATTGTGGGTTATCCGAGCCCATATGCCCAATCAAAAATTCCCCGTTGACCCCATAAAAACGGGGTCGGGTAGCAGTCTACTACTCGAGACGAGACTCTGCCCTTCGGCACAGCCTCGTCTGGATGCCACTTTGGATGCCAGAGGCAGAGAGTTTGACAAGGACTCTTCCGATGTAATCCGTATAGTGCTCACTTAGATGACACAATAATATATACCTTACATTTAACATCACATGATGTACTTATTCAAAAAATGGGATCGCCTGTGTTTGCTCTCTAGTGATCTGTGTTCAAACTCCAGTGTCGGCGAAAAATATATATATATATATATATATATATATATATATATATATATATATATATATATATATATATATATATGCATGTATGTATATATGTATATTATAAATTAATTGATTTAAAATATTTTTAGCTACACAGTTCTAATCATGTTTCAAAATGGAAGATCAAAGCTTCGAATTTAATTTTGTAATTAAATTAAAGACAGTAGTTCCATTTCATCCTCAAGCGAATTTTAGATTAATTTTTAAAATTACTAGGTTTTAAAGACACAGCAAATATGTATATATATATATATATATATATATATATATATATGTGTGTGTGTGTGTGTGTGTGTGTGTGTGTGTGCGCGCGCGGGCACGTGTGTATGTATGTATGTAAAATAAAAGATAAAATAAATAATATTTACATTATACAATAATTGAACAAAAACATTTATTTATTTTTGTTTACTAAACATCACATTACATAACTTAGCATCCTCTATATTTTACTTACACCTATATATAAAAAGAAATACCGTATATATATATTTAAAACACAAAAATCATCTTTAAATATTGGGTGTTGTCTTATACTACAATTCTAAAAAAGAAACCTTAAATTCTGAGCGATGTATGCGATAACTAATAACGTACATGAAAATATTCACAGTATCACATAAACTGATAATAAAAGTTATAAAAACCATTTATACCCTAAATGTTACTTGCATAACTTCATAATAAATTCGAAGAATAAGTCCATACCGATGAAAGCTCAGCTGAGAAAATGTAAATATTTATGATTGCGTAAATATTTACGATTGTAAACATTTATGATTGAAAATGTAAACAGTTATGATTGTGTTCACAGGAACCTTTATCTTTCGATAAACTTTCAATAATTATCATAATCGTATTAATTACGGCAGTAATAATATTTAGGATGAAGAAAAAAAATCGGTATTCGCAAGAGATCACTAGATGAAATGTAAAGGTTTCCCTTTTAGGGGACATGTGTAGGAAAAACATGATATAGAATAGGTTTTATTATTTAGTTTATTTTGAATTTCTAAGCATACAGTAAGTAAAAACATTTCCAATAACATCATCTTTATATAATCAATATGCAGTCAGTATAGACTAAAGGTATAGACTAAAGGTATAGACTAAATCCAAGAGAATTTGTTATATTTTTTGGACCTCGTCTTTTTTAAAATTAGCCTTATAAGCGGAAATATACGGCAATTATATTTTTTATTTATTAATCTGACTAATTGTTATTACTTTAAAAGTTATTTTTATTGGATGCCCATTGATGAGTAGACCATCCGTTTATTTTTAATCACTATTTTATTACGTCTATCGACCTGAATATTCGAGAAATCTTAATGAAGAAAAATTCGCCCTCCGGCAACAATCGAATCCTTTGCAAGAGAAACCGTCGTTAGATCCGAAGTGCTTTAATCAACCCGGCTACGAAGAGCGTTGTGACCAAGCGATATTTTATTTGTCTTTTAAGCCCGTTTCACTCTTTTAGATTTTTTTTCGTAACTGCTGTGTATCCGAAACTTAAACAAAAAAAATTGTAAAGAAATAATGAAATTTAATTCCTTTAATAATCCGAAAAATTATTATTCGGAGGAGGCAGGTTTGAATCCTGACAGAGGGAGAATTTTACTTTAATAAGATTTCTCAAAGTTCAGGACGAATTTTCAATACAATAACCTTCATTTTCAATTGCATGCAAACCGGAAGGCAACTCTTCTATTCCCCCTTTAAAGACATCAGGTATTTATCTATAAGAAGTTTGGAAGACTATTTTGAACATGTCTATTTACCAGTGACACTTATAAAATGTTCCAGAGATCAAAACAAATGAAAATCTACACTATTTACACTGTTCGGACTAATATCTTTATTGTTATATTCACGAAGCTTCAGTCGTTGTACATTCTGTCCTTCTTCAATTGATACCCGTTAAAATTCCGAACCGAACCCTTTATTTCGCCCACCTGGGTAGATTGTTCTAGTTCCACATGCCATGCCTTTTCTAGATATCTCAGTTTCAGTTATTTCCCTTTAGTAACTCAACTCTTTTTGTTCACCTTTACTGAACTCATAACATTTTGGGTGAAGTCACTGGATTACTTCGACAAACGTTTATCCACTGGCCATGTAGCTTTGGGGACACATAGCCTAGTGGATAAAAATATAACCCCGTGGATCCTCACGATATTATTATTTTTCTTGGGTTTCTTTTGCAGGGTGTATTCTATCATTGTTGTACCAGAGAATGGCATATTTCTCCCCCCCCCCAAAAAAAAACGAACACTTAACGTTATGCTTCACTAGCACGATCAAGTTGTCAGAAGTAAACGTTTACAGAGATAGTCTTTTTCATGTTCCATAGCTAATAATGGAGAACTATTTTCTTATTCTAGAGAATGCAAAGACTTCTGAGTCCTGGATTTAGTGTTAATACTGGTTCTGTGATAACAATTTTCTTTTTTGCTTTTCTTTCCCGGTAACAGTGCGATGAAAAGATGAAAGGTTAGCATTCTTAGTAAAAACAAAAAAAAAAGCAAAAAAAAAAAAACGCATCTTTGCTCCAGTATATTTAGTGAGAAGTAATTCAGTTAAACAGTTTGTTTTAAATAGAACAAATAGGACGTGCATGTTAAACTTTTTGTGGGCTTCTCTTGATATTAAATAATTTGTTTGATGTCAATTGTAAACTTGCAAAGGATCTTGCTGACATTGTGTGTAATGTTATAGTACTTTCGACCATTGTTGGTTATTTTCATGGAAAGTAGAAACCTGAGTGTTAGCCAGTATATATATATATATATATATATATATATATATATATATATATATATATATATATATATATATATATGTGTGTGTGTGTGTGTGTGTGTGTGTGTGTGTGTGTGTGCGCGCGTTTGTGTTTTAAAATTAGGATACATAAAATCGAATTTTTTTTTTTTTTTTTTTTTTTTTAAACTTTTGACAATTGGAAACAAAAGAAGTGAGTTGATTAGCACCTGCAAACAAAGATCTAAATTCCTACTCATACGCGTTGACCTAGATAAATGTAGGTCTAGCCCGAACAGGCGTTCACATTTACTAGTATAGATATTAATATTTTATATTTCTTACTATTTTTTTCTGGCTACCTTTATTGTACAACTATTGTTAATTTTAGACGATAAGGCATTTAACATTTTTTCCATTCCATTTTTTCCTTTATCTTATCACTACCATTTTTAGTATATAACTAGTATATTTTGATTTGTTTGTTATCTCTTTCTTTCATCTTTCATCTTACTATTAGATACGTGCTTATTTACTCATCTATTTACATTCATTATTTTTATTCAGGTAACATTCATTTATTTACTTATTTGCATATTTCCAAGTTCCTATATATGGCTTTCATTTCATTATATTTTACTTTATTATCTTACTTTATCCTGGCATATTTTATTATTACTGATATCACTACTTTTAGTTTTTTAGGGATATTAATAAAATTATTATTAATTACTCTATTTATTCCTGGATAAAAAATAGAGTTACCCACCTTGATTTTATAACACCACTTCTAGTTGTTAAACCAGCGTCTCTCTAAATTTGAATTTATATTTTTTATCTCCAACATTATTTTCAATCTTAAGAAATATGTTGATCTGGGCCGAACTTCTAAGTGAAAACCAACTACAACTCATTTAAACATTTTAAGGCTCTTATTTCTTTCTAACTTATTTTTCTTATTTTATTTTAAATTATATTCTTTCCATTGATATGGATTATTATTATTATTATTATTATTATTAGTAGTAGTAGTAGTAGTAGTAGTAGTAGTAGTTGTACTTTAATTTGTTTAATATTGTTTTATTTTATCGTGACATATTTCTTCATTTTATGATGAGATTTAATTAGTTTAGTAATATTATCATCAATTATTCTCTAGATTTTTTGGGAAAAAAGAGAGTTGCACCCCTTTAATTTTCCAACGTCTTTTTTTGTTTACTTACGTTTTCAAATCCAGCGTCTTTCTAATTTAGAATTTATATTTCCTATTTCCAAACTTATTTTCAAACTTAAATGTTAATCTGGAATTAAATTCAAATTCAAGATTAAACTGCAATTGATTTAAATATTTTAACTCCAATAATATTCCACCCAACAATAGTA